TTCCGGCGGGGGCAGGCAGAGCCACTTCCGGCCTAGCGGGTGAGTGAGCTCGTGGTTCGGCTCCTTAGAATCCCCTGATAGACGCGGCTGCGTTTGGGGGTTCGGGCCGAGCCCTGGGTGGCAGCGGGGCCCGGCAGCTGGGGACCCGTGTGTGGGTGCACAGTGCGCCGGAAAGCCCGGGCAGGTGCCGCGCGGACGGACGCCTGCTTCCAATTGAGCGGCCGGAGCCCCCGCGCCAAAGCCGCTGGCTCATAGTTTGGGACCCTGACTGTGCGGACACTGCTGGGCCGACTCCTTTCCCTGTTTAAACCAAAGCCTCCGCAGAGAGGGGGGCCATGGAAAGCAGCCCGTTGGTGGTGTCGAAACACAAGGCGGAGGTGGTGTGCGGGGTCCCCACTCAGGTGGTCTGCACAGCCTTCAGCAGCCACATTCTGGTGGTGGTGACCCAGTTCGGGAAGATGGGCACTCTGGTGTCCCTGGAGCCCAGCAACGTGGCCAGCGACATCAGCAAGCCGGTGCTCACCACAAGAGTCCTCCTCGGGCAGGACGAGGTAAAGTGGTCTGGAAGGGACCCCGGGGTAGTGGAGTGCCCTCTCACCTGGCTGTGCACTGTAGGAAGGATGTGGAGCATCTGGTACTCAGCACGCCTACAGCGACAGCATTCCCCACACCTCTGAGGGTCTTAGGGCACCCGCCTGCCCTTGCCGCAGCTTTTGCTGGCTAGGCAGCATCCTGTCCATAAGACTGTGTAGAGGGTGATTCTGTATTGCAGGCCTCCTCCTTCTGATCCTGTCGTGATCCATTGTGTTAATGAGTGGCTCTCTGCTGAGACGTGACAGGCTCTCCTCTTCTGGCCTGCCTTTCATGAGTCATTCCAGAGTAGAGATATGTAGAAAGACAGGGACGCAGAAGACACCAGGGAAATAAGTTTGATGGTGCCTCTTTAACAGGTGGTTTATGCCTGCAGTGTGGAGTCTCATTGAGCTCTGAATCACTGCTTCATGGAGCTAACCGAGTGATTTTAATGGCGGTGTAGGAAGCAAGTTAAGGTGGGACGTTTAATGCAGGCACCAAGGAAAGCCAGGTTTCCTGCAGTCATGGTGGTTTCTGCCTTCTCTCCTCCAGCCTCTCATCCATGTCTTTGCAAAGAACCTGGTAGCCTTCGTGTCTCAAGAAGCTGGAAACAGAGCGGTTCTCCTGGCCATGGCCGTGAAGGACAAGAGTGTCGAAGGGCTGAAGGCCTTGAAGGAGGTGATCCGGGTGTGCCAGGTATGGTGACCTGGATCAGCAGTGCGCACCATTCAACAGGACTATGCAGGAGCTCAGTCCCCTTGTGGGGTCTTGAAGACCCTCCCTCCTGCACAACCAGGAGGAAAGACTTCTGACTTTAGCCGTCGAAACTGGAAAAAACAGCTCAGGTGGACTCACTGGTTGCTGCATCGTCGAGGTGGCAGAAGCAGAAGGTGTGCCTTGGGCTCCCCGAGGTGCATCTACGTGAGGATGGAAAGCACCAGTCAGCCAGTGTGACTTGTGGCCCTCAGTGTGAGGAATCATTTGTAGAGGGAGGTTTTTTAAAACTAAAAGTAAATATGTATCCCAAAATCCTCACCATACTTCTTAACAATACCAAGAGATAGAGAAAGTACAATCTAGTATACCTTAGGTGGAAAGAAAACTTCATGTTTGTCAAAAATGCAGTCTGGTTGATGGGAACGACATGAATCCCAAATGTGTCTGCACACAGTCCTCTCTGTGACTCCTGTGAGTGCCAGCTTCCATTCTGCTAGCTTTTGTACTGGCTCCTCAGTGGGGCCAGAGAGCCCAGGCTGCAGAGTGTGGAGGAAGGATGTGTCAGGGAGGAACAGCATGTCTGGGAGTCGGGCATGGCAGGCACAGCAAGGGCAGCACCCCAGGAGGGTTGCCAGGGTGGACATGAACTCCATAATGGGGCTGAAGGCCTTCTATAGGACCACCCTGAGCTCAGCGGGGGCTTGAAGGGTTTTAGGTCAGAGGTGGCCTTTAGAAATGCTGCCAGGCGCTAGGTTAAGTTCCCAGCACCATCACCACCACCCCTGAAAAAAAAAAAAATGAAAAGACAAGACAAAGAAGTACACATGGGAAATATTTGCAAGAATTGGTAGGAACCAGGGTTGGGCATCAGCTTTGGGGCATTTATTCCCCAACTTTTGCCTGTGGTGCACACACCTCTGAGGAAGGCAGGCTGGGGCTTGGCTCCCCTCCACCGCACTGAGGGAAACATTGCCGATCGCAGTGCATGGGGAGTTCCAGAAGGTGGAATCTGCACCATCTGGCTCTCTGAGTCTCCAGTGAGGAAGAGGCAGCGGAAGTTAGGAGAGGAGGTCATGCAGCAGAAGCTGACAGGATTCCAGAGCAAGCTAGCACCTGGGGGCCCTGGCAGAGCGGATACATAGAAGGCTCATAGCACCCGTGTGCTCATGAAATTAGGAAGGGATATTTTTATTTGGTTTTTGTCTGAGCCAAAGGCTCCTGTATTCCAGCAATTTTTTCTTTTTTCTTTGTGGTACTGGAGATTGCACCCAGGGGTGTCTACCAGTGAGATACACCTCCAACCCTTTTTAAAATATTTTGAGACAGACTCTAACCTGGAATTCGGGATCCTCCTGCCTCAGCCTCCTGGGTAGCTGGGATCACAGGCGAGCACCAGCATACTCTAAGGTCCTGCTGTTTTCTTGCTTTTAGAACCTTTCTTTAGGAACAGGCAATGGGCAGATGGGTTCAGATTCACTGCTGGTAAATTTAGAAAGTGAATGTGCTAAAGGTAAAGATAGGAAAACTGGTAGCCTACAAGCTGTTCCTTCAGCAGGTCAAGTGCCTGCTGTATGCTGTTACCCTTTATGTCTGCCCTCCTAGTCTTCCCAGCAGACATTCAAAAAAATCTGTAGGCAGAGACAGCTCAGAGCTCAAGGAGAGTCAGGGAGTCAATGTGGGAATCCCGACAGATTTCCTGAAGGAAGTGTGAGAGTGGTCCAGGGCCCGTGGCAGCCCCAACCTCTCACCTGTGGCTGTAAAACCATCCCTGGTAGTCAGGACCCCAGTGACCATTGTTGGCCCAGGGACTCCCAGGTGACTTTTTCCAGCCTGCCCCCTCCCTCTTCATTTCCTGTCACAGTCCCCTCCCCTCAGGAGCCTAGTGCCTGGACTCCACAACTCTTCCAGGCCACAAAGGAGTGGACTAAGGGAAGAGGGAGGACAGGCATGGGTCACACCACTGTGGGAGTGAGGAACCCCTGAGGCCAGGTGACTGGGCGGGAGGGGCCAGAACCCACTTTGAAGACTCAGCCTGACCCAGAGCAAGGGCCTGGCATTATCAGATTGGTGTCTTAGAGCTGGCACGGGGCAGAAGTCTTTGTTCAGTGTTTGATGGTGCCCATCGTCCCCAAATCAGACAGCTTTGTCCACACCACAGCTTTCCTTACCTGACATCTGGGGACGCGACCTGGATAGGACTCAAGTCCTGGCCTGAGTCCACATCTGCAGCCTTAGTTTTCTGATTTGGGCCCTCGAGGGCCTGTGCTGGTGACCTTATCACCCTCACAGCCATCCACTTCACTACCAGTAGCAGACAACATGGAGAGGTCACATCGCTGCTCCTGATGACAAGCTGGGATTTGAATCCAAGCCAGGTGCCCAGATCCCCACTGTTCCCTAGTCACCAGGTCCCTTGATAACTTACACTCTGGCTCCTTTTTTTAAAAAAAAATATTTATTTATTTTTTTAGTTTTCAGCAGACACAACATCTTTTCTTTGTTTGTATGTGGTGCTGAGGATCTAACCTGAGCTTGCTACCACTTGAGCCACATCCCCAGCCCCACTCTGGCGCCTTTTAAGCCACAGCTTAAAAGGATGTCACAGGCAGCTTTGCCTCCAGGGTCCTGTCTGGTTCTGGTTCGATTTTCCTCTTTCAGGGCCTCTGAAGGGCCAGGCCCAGGCAGACCGAGGGCCTATTTGGGTCCCAGGGGCCACCCTTGAAGGTGAGTAGTGGAGACAGTTGAGGCCCACGAAGATCAGGTTGTTACTGAGACCTTCTCTGGGGATAAGGCAGCCCTCTGGCCGGCTAGACCCCAGGCTACCTGCCTGGAAGCAGGGCTGGAGATGACCCGTGGTTGCACCCCGTCCCCCATGCCACCTCTGAGTCACTTGGAGCTGCCCAAAGCTGTCTGGTCGCTTTTAAGATACAGTCTGAGCCTCATGCCCCAGCTCCTGAGCCAGTACCTTCCTGCTCCACTTGGCTCCGCCCTGCCTGATGAACCTGGTGCACGCTGGACTTGGGTGAGAGGCCCGGTGGACCTCGATTTCTGTGTGCTCCCCTCTGCTCCCAGCTGCAGGAGTCAGGAAAGTGCTTTGGCCCAGTGAGGCAATCTCGAGAGCCAGCAGTTTCCACAACAGGGCTGTCGGCTGGGCAGAAATTGTCATCCTGTAGACGGAGAGACTGCGTGTGGTGCTTACCCAGCAATCCAGCTGTAATTAACGCTTCCAACCATTTACAGCCAAACATAAATAATGAACATCGGGCTCATTTGCCAGCCCTGCACAGGCAGCAGGGGAGATTTCCTGCAAGCCTGTGCCACGGGCTGCCTCGGGGTATCTCTGAAAGGCCATGTCCTCTCAGTGGCCAGGGGAGTGTGTCCCTGCTTAGCCAAGGGCACTGGGCACCATGGAGGCCAGGAAAACCATGAGGGTGGTGGTTCTTGATCATTTCAGGTAGCTCATCCAGGGATTGACAGAGTCCTGGGTTCCCCACAGCCAATTGGGACAACCCACACAAGGAGACTCAGACCAGCGGGGAGCTGGTTCATTGAGAGCTAGGAAGTGATGTTGGAGTCAGAAGAGGAGCCCTGGTCCACCACTGGAACGGGCTGCTGGTGAGATGTAGTCCCCAAGGCCTGTATAGTGTAACACTGGCCGCAGAGACACTGTCACTGTGACTTAGAGTTTGCCCTTGCAACAAGAAACAGAGGGTAGCACGTTTGGGGACATTTTGATAAGAACTGTGCTCGAGGCCCAGAATGCCCAGGGTGAGGTGGATGTGGCAGGTGCTACACCTGAGAACTTGTGGACAGTCCTTTGAGCGCCCCAGGAGGGGGCCATGAGCCTGTCCAGAGCAGCTGTGAAGGCCTGGAGGGCAGGGGACAGGCCACCCCCACATGCCAGGGCTGGAGAGGGTACGAGACAGGCCCGGGGGAGGCACTAGGAGGAACAGGGCAGCTGGAAGAGAAAGAGGTCTTCGGACAATACTGGCCCTACGCAGGCTCTCTGGCCCCACTGCCACCGCTGGAGGAGGAGCACTGAGGTCACTTCACAGATGGGAAGACTGAGGCTCGGGACCCAGCAGTGACCTCTCCGAGGCCAGTTCTAACTTGGCCTCCCAGCCAGCTCGCCAGGGCCTCCCCGCCCATTTCCCGAGCTCATCCCTGTCCACCAGGCCAGAGGACTGTGGTTCTCAGTCCACAGAGGGCTGCCAGTTGTGACACAGGTGTCCTGTGAATTGGTGGGAATGGGGTCATGACCAGAGCTGGGCGTCAGTGCCTATCCGGAGCCTCACTTGGGCCCTTCAGGGGTAAAAGGCCCAAAGAAGGAGAGAGGCAGCAGCATGGACAGAGGGAAGGGCCAGAGGAGGACGGACTGGTCACTGGAACCCTCAGTGCACCTGTGACATGGACATCGCCACCCACCCTCGCCCTGGGCAGAGAGTTGCAGTGGACACATAACTCAATCCATGGCCAAAACAAATGGGCACAGATGGCAGCAACGCTAAGGCCCAGGCCTGTGGGCAGGAGGGAGGAGCAGGTGGAAGGGACAGGAGCAAATGGCTGGACCCAGATTCTGGGCTGGGGGTGGCCACGGGTGTGGCCCCAGCAGGGTGTGGCCCAGCAGAGGCTGCTCAGGCAGGTAGGGCCAGCCAGGCTGGGAGGAGCCTGGGCGCCGAGAGGCCAGTGAGAGGGACCCATGCTGTCCCGGCTGCTGTGAGGAGGGTGTCAGACACTGAGGGACACCCCTTCAGCCACCCTCCAGGCCTGGGGGCATCCCTTGTCTGGAAAACCAAAGCTGCAGACCTGCCCAACGGGCCTGCCCTGCCGGAGGCTAGGAGCCAGGGGAGGTGAGTGGGTGTGGGGGTGAGTGGGTGTGGGGCCACTCAGCGGGGCAGAGTTCAGGCTGGGACCTCAGGGTGGGGGCACCTAGAGAAAACCCCCCTCCTGAGATTCTGAGAGTAGCCCTCTGCTCCGGCCTCAGCTCTCCCCCAGAGTCTGGCCCCTCACTGGTCCCAGGAAGTCACCTGATAAAAAGAGGGTGTAGGGCCATGCCCCGTTCCAGATGGAAGGGCCCTTCAGTCACACTTTGAGGCAGTGGCAGGCCCAGGCAAGCCCTGGAAGGCACTCTCTGGGGACTGATGCTGAAGGCCAGGGGTGGAAGTGGGCACAGGTGTAGGGAAGGGCAGGCCAGCTGGCAGAATGAGATCAGAGGCCCTTGTGGGGTCCCCAAGAGGCTACCCCCTGAGATTTGGGGCCAATGGGCACAGAGACAAGTCTGTGGCTTGGCTGGGAGCAAGAGGCCACCCCCACCTTACCTGGCTGTGAACACCGAGCCAGCTGGGCCAGCAGAGCCCTGGGTCCCTGCTGGCCTGGCAGGCACTCCTTCAAGAATCTGTGGTCACCGCAAGGAGTCCACACTTTGAGTGCACTGGCCATTCAGGGGGGTTCAGATTGCCAGGGGAAACTGAGGCTCAGGTTGGCCCAGGGTTGTCTCGGGCCCTGCCTACAGGGATGCGCAGGCCAGAGCCCCCAGTCCCAAGACACCAAGAATAGCCAGGGCCTGGTGGAATAGCCAGTCCTGACTCGGGGGGCTGCTCCGTCTCAGGTGAGGAACAGCATCTTAGCCACCAGGAGGCAGAGCTGCTTGCGTGTTGAGGACAGGGGAAAGGTGTGCTGGGGTCACAGGGTCCCAGGACGAGACCTGGGAGGAGACCCAGAGAGAGGGAAGAGGTGGCTCCAGAGTCCCCAGGTTGGAGGGCAGCCAGACTGAGCTCCTCCTCCAGTCCTTTCAACCAAAGGCCCCCTACCTCTGACCCCCAGCCTGGCCACCCAGAGCCCTTGACTAACAAGGAGCCCTTGACTGCCACCATCCTGCCTCACCCTGGGCGGGCATTAGCTTGGTCATTGCCCTGGCACTACTGAAACAAAAAACCCAGGGCAAATGCTGGTGGCCACCTCCCTGGACATCCAGAACAGGATGGTGGCAGGCGGGAAGTCCGAGGACCTGTGGTCTAGCCTGGGAGAGCTGATGTGTCGGGATGAGTCCCGCTGCCCCGCCCCCAGGCCCTAGGGCAGTAGGTGTAGACACTAATTAGCAGGCCCAGGACCTGGGGACTGGGGACTCAGGGACTCACTCCCTGGCTGCTGGAAGTGGCCTTGGAGCCTTAGGGCAACTTGGTGCAGAAGGAGGGAGGTGAGGTAGGATCTGAGCCTCCGCTGGAGGGAAACAAGGGGAGGGGGTAGGTCGCAGACCAGCCTGCAACAGGGCAGCAGGCCAGGAGCCAGGGGCATCGGGCAAAGGGCAGGCAGCTCTGCCAGGGCCAAGGCAGAAGGGACAAGAGTAAGGCACGGACAGGCCCAGCAGCTTCTCAGCCTCCCTGCAACCTCCCCGGGCATGGGACTTGCCAGGTCAGCCAGGTCTCGTGATCACAGTAAACAGTGGTCAGAGGTCTGTCCTGCCATGGGCTTGGTCAGTGTCCAGCCTCCTGGGAAATCAGGCCTGGCCTGCCCAGTGCCTCTCCTGAGTGGTGTGGGCTGACACTGCCTCAGGGCAGAGCCTCACCCAGCCAGAGAGCGGGTGAGAGAGCAGGCAAGACAGTCAGCCTCTCACCAGGCTCTTGCTCAGATACCTACCTGGGGACAGGCCACACCCTCCATATCGTCTTCTGCTGGGGGTCTGGACCCAGGGAGAGCCTTGTGGAGCCCTCCCCTGATCCCAGAGCCAGGCCAAGGAGGGTTGTCTCGGGCCCTGCCTACAGGGACGCGCAGGCCAGAGCCCCCAGTCCCAGGTTCCTCTGCTGCCTCCCTTCATTACAGCCAGATGTCACCAGCCCAAGAGGCAGGGGGGTGAGCACCCAACAAGACCACCCTCCCCCGCAGCCTCAGTCCTCAGGGCAGTGAAGAGGGTCAACCCAACTGTTTATGGGACAGAGTGGAGCCCCAGGGACATGAAGGTTCTGGCCATGGCCCTTCCCCTCCAGGCCCCAGGCAAACACCTGCTACTGGACGGGGTGAAGTCCTGGCCAGGAGGGGCACAGGGTTGTGGGCTCTAGGCTGTCACCACCCCTGCCCTCTGGGGAACTAAGACAGTCCTCGCCCATGGGACAGCAAGCCTGCCATTGTGCAAGACTATGGATGCCCACCACAGTCTAGCCCGGGTCAGCCCTGGTGGAGATGGGCAGGGGTGAGGGAAAGGCCTAGGCCTTGGACTCAGAGGCCGGAGTAGGGGACAGGTCTGCACTCTGGGGACCCCTCCCCATTTATCCCATCTTATAGGCTTATGACCTTTTCAAGGAAGCAACTCCCTTGAGCCTCAGTTTTCTCATCTGTGAAGTGGGGCTAACAGATTCATGCTCTCCAAAGGGTCCCTGTGTGGTGCTGCCCACTGCTCAAATGTGCCCAGGCACAGCCTGAGGGCTCCATCCCCTGGTCTGGCCACGTCTCAGTATGAAGCAGTCACCAGTGTGTGCTGGCTGCCCGGAGGTTGCACAGGGCAAGGAGGGCCCCAGCCAGGCCCCGCAGACTCCCTGGGGCCATGAGACGAGCATCCTTCTAGGGGATTTGGGGCCGGGCTGGACACCCCAAATCTTCCCACTCTGGTCATCTTTCGGTTTGCACAAGATGGGGCCAGCTCAGGGGGAGGAGGGGCTGCAGACCAGGCTTTGGAGAGCTTGGAATCCCCCAGATGCCCAGCAGGGGGCAGCACCAGCCCAGGGAGAGGCAGGGTAGAGGGCCTTCCCTGATGGAAGGTGGGTCAGAGCCGGGTACCTAAGGGTGCTTTGTATCCCGCTGTGTCCTCCTGGGGCAGAGCCACCACGCACACCCAGGACCCCAGGTGTGGCCTGCTGGATGGTCAGGAATCGGTTGGGCAAGAGTTGGGTGCCTGGGCCCCGCTTGGACTTGGGGACCACAGAGGTGTGTCGATGGGAACTGCCTGGGCAGGTGAGGCAGAGGTGTGGGTGCTGCCCGAGGAGCGGCAGGCAGGCTGGTACTCACCCCATTCCCACCTTGACCGAGCCTTGGACGACACCCACTTCACAGAGAGGCCAAGGGAGCTGCCTCCTCGGTGGCCCAGGCCAAGGGCAGGACAAGGGCTGAGGGCTCAGGCTGTGTCTGGAAGTGCTTCTGTCAGGAGGCCAGAGAGGAAGGCTGGGTAGAGGACGCAGAAGGCCCAGGCCTGGGTGGAAGGGAGGCTGTCACATGACCAAAGCCGCTTCCCAGAGTGCTCGAGAGGTTCTGGAGTGGACGGGCTCTGCAGCCAGGCCTGGGGTCTCAGGGCCTGCCCAGAGGAGTGGCCAAACCAGAGCACATCAGGTGGGGCAGCCGCGAGGATGATCTGGAAGGGACACTGCACCTGGCCTCCGCCATCAGAGAGGGGGCAGCCATGACTGAGGGGCTTCCCAAGGACGGTGACCCTCAGGGCCAGGAGCATCTCAGGCTGGTGCCTTGCAGCTGGCAGAGCTGTGTCCTGGAGATCACCAGACCTCGCTTTCCCCAGACTGGGATCTGCCTCTGAGGAAAGAGTAAAGGTTTGGAAGTTCCTGGCCTGGCTAGAGTCCAGGCCTTAAAACCAGGGCTCTTCAGAGTCCTGGCCCTCTGACTCCAGCCAGGAAAGTGCTTCTGCTATCTGACCACAGTGCTTCCTGCTGTATACTCAGTCTTTCCCACTGTCAGCCTAGAGAAGGACCTGAGGCCTCATCTCATGCTGGGCTCTGTAAACAAAACAGGAAGGGGCCAGAACCTCAGTTTCCACCCACTGAAGCACGAGTGGGTCACGTAAGCCCTGTTCGTTTCCCGACATCAGTCTTTATGCTTCAAAGCCCCTGGACCATTACCACTGACCGGAAGTGAGGGCCACCTCCATGGCAGGACCAGCTAGGGGCCGAGGCACCACCCTATGGGAGACAGACTCAAGCCAGCAAACTTCACATGGAAGGTCTGGGACGGAGGGACACTTTCCAGAGGTGATACCTGAGACTGCAGGACAGGGACACCGAGAAGGAGTCAGAGCAGGTCCCAGGCAGGGGCAGGCAGGGCTCAGAGGCGTCCTGGGCAGGAGGGGGCCCTGGGCCAGCACGGCAGGAGCAGGGGCTGTCGGGGGCCAGGCCAACGTGGGGCCTGGGAGTCAGGGTGCCAGGTGGGTGGACACTATGGGTGACAGACAGCAAGCCCCAAGCCCTGGACACACAGATGAGCCCCTCGAGTCCCAGGTCCCACCTGCAAAGGGGGACAGTCTACAGTCCTATCTGCCAGGGCATCAGGGAAGGGCAGAAGCACCAGGCACAGGCAGAGGGGCCACTTTATAACAGACTTGCTGCGTCGCCACAGGAGACCTAGAGGTGGCATGAGGAACCGGCCCTCCAGCCCCACTGACAGACCCCAGCAAGGACCAGTGACCTGTGTGCCGTTCCCTGCCCCCTCCCCCAAAGCCAGAATGTTAGCCGTGTGGGGTGGGGTGCACCTGGGATCCCAGCACGTGGGGGCTGAGGCAGGAGGATGGCATGTTCTGGGCCAGCCTCAGCGACTTAGTGAGACCCTGAGTCAAAATGAACCATGAAAAGGGCTGGGGCGTGGCTCAGTGGTAAAGTGTCCCTGGGTTCTGTCCCCCACCACCAAAAGGAGGGGACGGTGTCAGGATGTGGCTCAGTGGTAGAGCACCCCTTAGGGTGAATCCCCAGTGCCACCCAACAACACAAAGCACACACAATTCATGGAATATGAAGATATGGTTCACCCATTTTTTACATGAACAGTTCAGCGCTGTCTCTTTATCACCCAAGAGGAAGCCTGTGACATGAGTCCCCCACTCCTTCCCTCCCCTGCCTGGGGCCACTCACTGTGCCTGGGCCCGCTGCAGTGCCTCCTGCCTGCCTCTGGCACAGGCAGGTGAGGGCACCCGGTGGCTAGCGGGTGGGTTCCTGGAAGCCAGCTGCCCTGAGCAAACCAGGAAGGATAGAGTGTCCACCGGGGAGGGGACAGGCCTGGACCCTCCCCCTCCTGACTCCTCCCCTGGCTGGGAGACCAGGTGGGCCCCTGGGCAGGTGAAGCCTCACCTGCCAGGCCAGGCCTGGTACACACTCCGGATAGCGGCCTTGCCCCGTCCCTGCAAGGCTGCCAGAGGGGGCCGCATGGTCACACAAATGACCAGCCAGGCTTCCCCAGAGGCCAGGCCTCCCAGGGCCGGGCCAAAGAGCTTCCTGCCCGCGGAGGTAAGCTCTGGGCCCTGTGCGGCCAGCCAGAGAGTGGGGAGGAGGCCACACGGGGCTGCCGGGTGGAAAGAGGGAGGTTCTAGGTGCCCTGAAGCCTGTTGGGAGACTGAGGAGCAGGGCATCGGGGCCAGAGAGCAGGCGGGGGGTGGCCAGGGGCACCTGGTCATGCTGGCACCTGGACACGTTCCAGCAGGTCTCAGGGACCTGGAGGGCAGGGGCAAGGGCTGGCATACTCCTCACTGCTGGACACAGGGCCCTCTGGGCCTCTCCCAGGACCACCCGGGGCAGGCAGGAGAGGGGGGTCCCCCTCCCACCCCTGAGTGGAAGTAGTGTTTGGCCCCTCAAGTGTGGGCTCCGGGGAAGCCCAGGCTTCCGGGTGGAAAAGTTTGCCACCGAGGGAGCCTGAAGGGGGCTCTGGGCAGCGAAGCTGAGCCCTGCACAGGAAGGAACCGCAGGCCCCGTGCAGCGAGGTGCCAAGGGCGGCCAGGGTCAGGGTCATGGGTGGGATCGTCAGACCCAAATTCCAAGAGAGCTCAGGTGGCCATAGGTGGCCCTTCCACCCAGGAAGCCAGGAATGTACAGGGCACAGTGGCCGGGCAGAGACTGACCCCCTGCCCTGCCAGGGCTGAGGCTCAGGGGGGCACAGCCTGGCAGAGCCGCCCCGCCCCCTGCCCTCCTGGCCCGACTGCCACTGGAGGCTGCCCTTGGCCTTCTCCCCGCCTCCTCCCGCCTGTGCAGATGAGTGGCGCCTCAGGACTGCTGGGAACAGCCGGAGTCCCCCTGGCGTCCCTGACCTGGCCGCTGCCCAGCCCCGAGCTGGCTATGCCCGTGCTGCCAGCCGGGCCACAGATGGACCCCGTGGGGAATGGCTCCCAGGAGGCCCCCCGGCTCTTTCTCACCACCGCGCTGGCCCGAGGCATCTCCGGCCTCTTCGTGTGGGCTGCCCTGTTCATCACCTGCCACCAGGTAAGCTGCTCCACCTTCAAGCCTCCCCGGGGGACCTCAGTCTCCATGGGACATGGGCACAGCCCAGGCTGGCCTCCTGGTTGACCCCAGGATCATGAGATCTCAAGGGATGGCCCTCGGGACTAGAGATGGAGGCCCAGCTGGACCAGGGGGACAGTGCCCAGGGACCTTCAGGGAGATGTCAGACCCGGGCTCAGGAGAAGGGGTGGACGGGAGCCTTTCAGGACTGAAAGCAGGGGCAGGGTACTGGCCGGGCACCACCGGTCGTGTCCTTGGCCCCTGCCCTGCTCACGGAGGTCCGTGGAACAGTGTCACTTCCCTCAGGAACATGGAGACTCTGAGAGGAGCAAAGGCCTTCTCTCTCCAGAGTCTTGGCGTCCCCAGAAGGCTGCAGATGGTTTGGACTTTGCTCTGTAGGGAGCCTCAGGAGGAAGCAGGGATCTGGGAGGGGACAGGGGACAGGGGACTGGGAAGCCAGACTGGGGGGGCGGGGAGCAGGCCCCAACCTGACTGGGGGGCGCAGGCTTCCTGGAGGGGCCACTCCCGCTCAGTCTCAGCCACGGGAACCTCCCACACCGTGTCCCACGCACCACCCCTGGCCTGTCACCAAGGGGGGAGACAGGACCGTCCCTGGGAGGGGGCACTGGTCAGGCCTATCAGCCAGGAAGGATCAGGGAGTCGCTGGGCAGGAAGTGGTGCCCGAGCTGGGGCTGGGCATGGGGGGGTGGTGGCAGTGGGGACAGGATGGTCCTGGGCACTCTCCGATACACAAGGAGGTACAGAAATCAGAGCAGAGGCCACGTGGGTAGGAGGAGCCCCTGTGTGGCCTGGGGGGGCTGTCTGGGCTGGGTGAGTGTGGAGGGCCTGACCGCCAGGTGAGGGCTGGGCTGGTCAGGGGAGGGGAGCTGGGGTCCCCAGCACTGGGCGGGAGTGGATGGGCAGGGTTGCCCAGGGGCCTCCAAGGCAGGACCCCCACCTGCTGGTGGGGGGTGTCCAGGTGTGGTCTCACTACCAGCACACTAGGGGGCAGTGCAGGGTCTGGAGCCACAGAGGAGGGCCACCAGAGAGGGCTTCCAGGAGGGGACTGCGGCTGAGCTGTGTCTGGCTATCACCAGTGTCCTGGGGCCACACAGCCTGCACAGGACTCACGAGGGCCCTGGGGCTGCGCTTCAGGCCCTGTTCCCCTGTCCCACCTGTAAGCCTCAGCCAGGCCCACCTAAGTCTCTGTCCCTTTAGATCTGACTGGACAGAGAAGGACTTGACCCCTCACTTTACAGACAGGGAAACCAAGGCCAGGGAGGACAGCTGCTTGCCAAGGTCACCAGGCAGTGCCAACCGCAGAGAGCTCTCCTGGTAGCTGGTCATGCCGGGTCCTCCCACTGCACCAGCAGGGGACAGGGTGCCAGATAAGGAGCTGGGCCTGATACCAGCCGGGCCTCACTCCCCACACCTGACCTTGTGGCCCCGCACACACTGCCCCCTCCACAAAGCACGCCCTGCACCCGCTCCCGCAGGGCACCTCCCCAGGAAGTCCCTGCGGCGCCCTGGAAGGGGGCCAGGCACCGGGCGCCCCATTCCTCTTCAAGACCCCGTCCCTGTCTTGTCACGTCCTCATAGAAGACATGGAAAATCCAGGAAGAACTAAAAGTAGAAACCGTACTCACCGCAGTTTCTACCGGGACAAGAAACTGGGTGAATTTCCTTGTATTTTTACCAGGCATTCGTGACGCCGTGAGGTCCCATGAGTCTTGTCATTTGGGTTCTTAGGTGTCACATCCTGTCAGAGTGATCCACCATGGGATGCTGTTCTGAACATATTTTTTTTAAATATGTTTTTAGTTGTAGATGGACACACGGTGTCTCTATTTATTTTATGTGGTGCTGAGGATGGAACCCAGTGCCTCACACATGCTAGGCAAGTGCTTTGCCCCTGAGCATATTTTTACTGCCAGTATAATATTCCTTCCCAGACTTGTTCCACTGTGTGGGAAGCCCAGCCCTCCCTTGTGGGTTCCTTCTTATGTATTGCTATGGTGAATGTCCTTGTGCACAGATATTTTTATTTTTGAGTAGATTTGCTCCTAGGGACAGATTCCTAGAGGAGTTAAAGGGTATAAATCCTTCCAATGTCAGGGCCTAGGGCTTGTTCCCTCCCCTTCCCCAGGATCTGACACTTAGCCGGGCTCAAGAAATTCTTGCAGAGTGAATGAATGGGTGTCTCCATTGCCAAAGTTTCACCAAGAACAGGCCTAGCTTGTGCCCAAGCTGATGGTTGTAAATGTGCTGCATGCTTGAGAACTGTAAAATATTTTAAACTTCCTCACCACAAAAAATGATAGGTATGTGAGTTAAGGAATATGTCAACGGGCTTGATTTTTGCCTCTACAATGTACCTGTCTGTTAAAATAGGTTGAACAACATAAGTATTATGTACATTTTTTTTTTTTTCGGTCCTGGGATTGAACCCAGGGCCTCTACCACTGGGTTATATCCCCAGTCCAAAATCTTTGTGAATTAAAAATAACATATTTAGCCAGGCACGGTGACACATGCCTGCATTCCCAGCAGCTCGGGAAGCTGAGACAGGAGGATCACAAGTTCAAAGCCAGCCTCAGCAATTTAGCAAGGCCCTAAGCAACTCAGTGAGACCCTGTCTCAAAATAAAATATAAAAAAGGGCTGGGGGTGTGGCTCAGTGGCTCAGCGCCCCTGGGTTCAATCCCCAGTACAAAAAAAGAAAGAAAGAATATGTTTAAAAATCTGTATGGTTTCATCTGGGCGCAGTGGTATACGTGCCTGTGATCCCAGCGACTAAGGAGGCTGAGGAAGGAGGATCACAAGTTCAAGTTCAATCTTGGCAACTTAGTGAGACACTGTCTCAAAATAAAAAATAAAAGGGCTGGGATGTAGCTCAGTGGTAGAGTGTCCCTCGATTCAGTAGCACTGTGTGTGGGGGTGTTGTGATTAGAAATTTAATGTACGCCTATGTATAAGGTGCATATTTGATTGGTAGAGTTGATAGATTTTGGATCTGATTACGACAGAGCAATATTGACCTTCCCCTGTCCTAAGAATGCTCCTGGTAGAAGTCCAGGGATCTGGGAAGGTACAGGGGGCCGGTGGTGCCCAGGGGAGCTCTGCCACTGCTCGCACCTCCTTCAGGGCGCCTGGGTGGCAGGGGTGGTGGGGGCAGCCGACCACCTGACCCTCCCGCTCCGGCCCAGATCTACCTGCACCTGCGCTCCTACACGGTGCCCCAGGAGCAGCGCTACATCATCCGCCTGCTGCTCATCGTGCCCATCTACGCCTTCGACTCCTGGCTCAGCCTGCTCCTCCTGGGAGGCCACGAATACTATGTCTACTTCGACTCTGTGCGGGACTGCTACGAAGGTGACGCTCAGGACCGACGTCTGGGCCGGGGCACCAGGCTCTGTGGCCAGCCCCCAGGGCACCCTGGCTCTCCCGGCCCTGGCGAGGGAGCCCTGATGGAGGGTGGGCTGTTGGGCCTGGAGCGGCAAGGTGCAGGCCTCTGGGGCGAGGGGATGAGCCACTGCTGCTCAGGGGACAGTCTGGGCCAGGCCCGAGAGGGCCCATCACAGGCCCACGGACTATGGGGCTGGCCGGAGCCCAAGTGGGCAGGGCTCCCGTGGGCTGGGCTCACACCAGCCCCTCCGTCTGCCCTGCAGCCTTTGCTATTTACAGCTTCCTGAGCCTCTGCTTCCAGTACCTGGGCGGCGAGAGTGCCATCATGGCCGAGATCCGGGGCAAGCCCATCAAGTAAGCCCACCTCCACCTGAGGCCCAGCACAGGGCAGCCCCAGCCGCTGCTGGGGACGTGTCCTCCCAGTGCTTCTGACCTCCTCTCCACAGGTCCAGCTGCATCTACGGCACCTGCTGCCTGAGGGGCATGGCCTACTCCATCGGGTTCCTGCGCTTCTGCAAGCAGGTAAGTGGGATCCGACTCGTGGGCTCCTCCTGCCCCTCAGCCCACTCCCTGGCCGACCAGCCAGAGCGATGGCCAGGTTCAGGCTGCCCTGCCATTGATCTGGTATCGTTTATATATTTTGGATCTGATTACGACAGAGCGATATTGACCTTCCCTCTAGAGACTTCTGCTCCTGGTAGAAGTCGAGGGACCATGGGAAGGTACAGGTGGCTGGTGGAGCCCCAGGGGGGGCTCTGCTATTGTGTTGGGGGCTAGCTCATGGCCAGCTGCTGTCCCCCACCAGTGCCCCTTGCCCACCCCAGGCCACGCTGCAGTTCTGCATGGTGAAGCCCATCATGGCCTTGGCCACCATCATCCTCCAAGCCTTCGGCAGATACCGTGATGGGGACTTCAGGTAGGGCAGGTGCAGGAGCCAGAGCCCAGGGGCCTTTGGGAGTGGGGCTCAGCACGGCTCAGGAAGGGCCCTGTCCTCGCCCACCTGCCCCCTCCTCATGGAGACCGCCAGGGAGGAGCTGGCCTTGTCACACATGGGGACCCCAGGCGGCCCCCGACTCCCACTCTGCGGTGGATCCAAGGAGGACAAGGGTGGGGTGTGAGGACTCACAGGCCAGGAGCCAAATGCACCTACTGTTGTTGAGCAGAGCACAGGCTGGCGACCACGGCATGCTCGGGAAGGAGCCCTGGCCCGGCTCACACCCGCCACCCACCAACACACACACTCTCTCACACACACATGGGTACTCGAGCACACACGTGCACACTTCCATGTCCACAGCAGAAGGACCCACTCCTAAGGCTGTGGCCAGATAGCTGACGGTCTTGGAGGTGGCTTTCTGACAGGGAGTGGGGATATGGTCATGCAGGAGGGACAGGAAAAAGGGCCACCACTTTGCCCGCCCTGCAGGAGGCCCCCCGAAGGCCTATACCCCTCAGTGCTGTCTGTGAGCCCTGGAGGGAGGACCCAGGTGGGGGGCCAGGATCAGGGGTGGGCAGCACAGCTGAGCAGCAGCTCTCCGTGCAGTGTCCGTAGCGGCTACCTGTACGTGACCCTGGTCTACAACGCCTCCGTCAGCCTGGCCCTCTACGCCCTGTTCCTCTTCTACTTCGCCACCCGGGAGCTGCTGCGGCCCTTCGAGCCGGTCCTCAAGTTCCTCACCATCAAGGCTGTCATCTTCCTGTCCTTCTGGCAGGGTGTGTGGACCTCGGGTGGCAGTGCCCAGGCCGGGCTGCAGTCCCAGGAACTGGGTTCCAACCGCACCTCTGTCCTAGGCCTCCGTGCCCTGTCTCCCCACTTGCAGCTCAGAGCAGTGACTGAGCTGCCCGTGCTGAGCTGGCAGAGCCCAGGCGCGGGACGCGAGAGGTCACCCCGCAGATCTGTCCTGGGCACTGGTGGAGGGAAGTCCTGGGAGCTGCAGATGGAGTCCACAGAGAGGTTTCCTTGGCCCTGTGGGGTGCCTGGGCAGGCCCCCTGTGGGTACTTGGTCCCTGCTTTTGAGGAGGATGACCACGGGGTCTCTAGTGGCTGAATACCATAGGAGCTGGGGGGACGCCAGGCCTGGGGCTGGACATGGTAGGGCATGCACCCAGGAACCCCAACCTTCAGGGTGCCCAGCCATTCCCAGTGGAAGGGATGCCTGACACCTCCAAGACCCTGTCAACCCCAAGCTGGTCCCTCAGGACCCTTGGCCAGTCACCAGAAGGAGCCTTGGCTAATGTCAGCCGTGCCCAGCCTCCTGACCAGGGCTGGTACCTGAGTGGCTACCTTCATCCCCAGGGATGCTGCTGGCCATCCTAGAGAGGTGTGGGGCTATCCCTGAGGTCCAGGCCATCGATGGCACCAGAGTGGGGGCTGGCACGCTGGCCGCTGGCTACCAGAACTTCCTCATCTGCATTGAGATGCTCTTCGCCTCCCTCGCGCTGCGGTACGCCTTCACCTGCCAGGTGTACTCAGAGAAGAAGGACTCGCCAGGTAAGCCAGGCCCTGCCAGCCGGGCCCAGGAACATCACAGCCCAGTCCACGGGCTAGACAGGGCGATGTCCCTTGATGGCTGAGCCAGGCAGGCAGCAGCTTCCAGCTCTCAGGGAAATGGGGCTGGACTAGGACCATGGCCTGCGGGTCCTTTGGTGTTGGGGGTGTGCATCCTGAGGGGTGGGGCTGGCTCCTACTGGTCAGTGAAAAGCAGAGTGTGAAGGACTCGCACCAGGCCAGCCCAAAGCATCCCCCAGAGCCCCTCAGAAACTACAGGGACTGGGACCCCTGGCAGGAGGGTCTCTACAGGGTCAGGCCCCAGTGCCAAGACTGAGGAGGAGCTGGGCTGGCCTCAGGAGTCCTGGGGTCACCCTCTGCTGAACAAGGCCCGGGCCTGGATAGGCAGGATCCCAGGGCTGGGCATACAATGGGGGATCTGGCAGGAGGCCCCTTGCCCCGGCCCACATGCTGTGTCCCCCCAGCTCCCCCAGCGCCCATGCAGAGCATCTCCAGTGGCCTCAAGGAGACCATCAGCCCTCAGGACATCGTGCAGGATGCTATCCACAACTTCTCCCCTGCCTACCAACAGTACACGCAGCAGGCCACACAGGAGGCCCCGGGGCCTGGCCAAGGTGGACACCCCTCTCCTGGCACCCACCCCTGCTCTGCTAGTGGCTCTGACAGGGGTAGGAAGAGCCGAAACCTGGAGAAGCACATGCTGATCCCTTCAGAAGACCTGTAGAGGCACTCGGGGTCTCCAGGGCCTGACTAGGGACCCAGGCTGCTCAGGCCTCAGGGAAAGGACAGACCCCCCCCCCACCGACCTTCTTGCCAAAGGTGCAGCCTCCACACTCAGCCCAAGGATCAGTGTGAGGGGTGGGCTCTCTTCCCTGGGAGAAGACACCTGGACAAATTGGACAAGCCTGAGGACCTACTGGGATGACCTGGACATCACCTGCAGGGTGGCCAATGTGGGGCAGGATACTAATGTGACCACTGAGGCTTTGGCTACAGAGGTCCCAGGGGAGCTGCAAGTTGGCTGCTCCTTCCACGTGACAGGCAGATAGATGGACGGTCAGATGCCCCCAGGCAGCTGTAGGAAGAGATGGTCAGGGGACAGCTGGGCAGCCTGGGACAGCAGAGGAGACAGCGCTGAGGGCCTGTGCCTGCTGTGGCCATCTTGAGCACACGAGGAAGGCTCATGCTGCCCTCCACACTGCAGCCACGGGGAGCTCCAGCAAGGTCCCCATACCAGGGCACTCCGGCCATCGACAGAACCACCAGGACTTGCCAGTGACTCGCCCTTATTTATAGATAAATGCCGTGGATTTGTAATGGCCTGTTTGCCTTCTGTTCCTGCAGTCAGTACCCTGAGTGGTCCGACGAGGGGTGGGGTGGTCCAACGGGGCCCATTGTCCTGGGCTGGGTGTCAGGAAGGGTCTTGGTTTTTATGGCCCAGGGTGGCCACCCAAGGCGTCACTCAGAGCGGTGCAGGCCAGAGAGCTCGGCTTCTGTGATGGAACCCAGTTCCGGTTTCTAGGGAGCCAGGGCGGTCCCCTCCCTCTGAGCCTTACTGTCCTCCATAAAATGGAGCTCCTGCTGGCCCCACCCTGTAACAGCCCAGAGCACCAGGCACGGGGACTCAGGCCTGCCTGGGACGTCCTCTCCCTTCCTCTTTCCCGCCTGCCCAGGACCCACAGAACCGAGCCTGACAGGCCCTGCCTCAGCTGGAGGGCTCCGAGGCCTTGGAAACATGGAGAAAGCAAAGTAGGGGACTAGGGGGACCTTGTGGTGAGCCTGCACTGGGCCTTGGCAGGAGGGCTGTCTTCCCATGAGGTATTGCAGGCAGAGGGGACCCACAGGGGCAAAAATCAGGATCCTGCAGTACTGGGGGGCAAAGCCAAGGAGGCTTAGGAAAGGGTATGGGGATCTAGGGCTGCTGGCCAGGCAGAGGCCACAGCTACCCAGAGGCCACAGCTCCTGCCACTTAATGTGACCACTGAGTGACCAGTCCACCTGGCTGCCCACTCCCACAGTCATGGGAAGAAGAGGGCAATGTGCCCAGGATCTTGGAGACCAGCTGTGCAGAGCAGTGTCAGTCAAGGGCCACTCCCCTGCCTTCTTGATCCCTGGGCCTAGGGACAAGGGAACTCAAGGCCAGTGGCTTCTGGGCTCAGCAGGACTGCTGATAAGATAGGCCGGGCTCCTCCTTGCAGCCAGCTGGGAAGAACCACCCTCACCCGCCACCTTATCATGCCCTCTGCAGCTGGCACATCCACCAGGAGGCCCTCAGCACTCCACTCCATCTACGAGGTTGGGAGGGGGCTCAGCTCTCCCCAGAGGCCTGCCAACCAAAGAGACCCTGGGCAAGCTTGATGCCAGGCCCGGCCGGTGCCTGGTCAGCAGGGGGCTGGCTCACACCAACCCTGCCTCGGAGAGGCGTCCTCTGGTCTGAGGTACCTGGAGCCATGTGCAGAGGAAAAGTGGGCAACGGTCCCCTCCTGCAAGTCCAGAACCACGTGGCTTGGGGGACAATCTTTCTCTGGACAGTACCCACATGTGCCAGGAGCCCACACAGACAACCCTCGTGACAGCCAGGGAAGGTAAGCCCAGAGAGGTCCCACAAGTTGCCTGAGGTCACAGCTGGTGGGGGGTGACTACACGGAAGTCCACTCTCCCTGCTCCTCCACCTGCACCTCCACCTGCGACGGGCCCTCCTTCTTTCCAACAAGACAGCAAATAAGGCCATGAGGGTTGAACATGGCGCCCCACTCGCACCACAGGCAGAACACTGCTGAGTGACTTAAAAGGAGCCCTCAGGCTGAGCTCCACTCGTCTCCTGAGGGATGGGAGGTGAGCAGCTGAGTGGCTTCAGTCTCATTAGGGCTGATGAAGAGGAGCCCCAGTTACAGCTCCCACGGGGCAGAGGGAGCGGCTGCTTGGCAGGCAGGAACTGGCTTGCCTGCCCAGTGCTCTGCCAAGTTACCTAACTTGCCTTGTCCTCAGTACTCCCATCTGTGAAATGGCCCAGCTGCAAGTCCCCAGGGACCACATGAGAGGGAAGGGAGGCCTGGTCTGGGCTGGGTGGCTTCCTTTCTGGCTCTGCGTGGCTGCCCTGCCTGGGGGGAGTCTCCTTTCTGGGAAAGGCTGGCCTGGTGTGGGCTGGGGACTACTTTAACAGCTTCCCTGTCCGCCTGCTGCCTCCAAGAGCCTGGGCCATAATTCTGGGCCCCCAGCTGGGGTCAGGGTCCCCAGAGCCACTGTAATGAAGTCTGGCTTAGCTGGGGCTCCATTATTGCCATTCCTGGTATCAAAACCTTACTGTGGTCCCACAGACACAACCCCCACTGGATCAGACACGCTCTGAAGTTCTAACGTCCACTTCTGGTCAGCACAGGCCAGAGGAAGACACACTGGTGGTTGGAATCTCTGGGAAGCAGGACTCACTGCAAGCCCGACACTCTGGAGCTGCAGATAAGCACTGCCCCGTTGGCCTCTCTGAGGATGGTGAGGTGGGGCTGCTCACCATGAATCGGGTCAGAGGGGCAGCGTCTGCTCAGGACAGCCTGGCTGCCCTTGGATTTCCAGAGCCACCTGCTTGCTTTAGGCCAGTGCAGGGGCTTTACTCTCTGCCCTCAGCAGACCCAGAACCCCTCCCAACTTCCCACAGGCTTATCTCAGAGAAAACCCCAGTAAAGCTGGGCAGCAGCCTGGCTTGAAGGGTGCCCGCCCTGTGGGGAAGGAAGCTCAGACCTGTGACCCCCAGCTCTAAAGCAGAGGTTGCACTGACTGCCAGAGGCCGGTGGCCAGGGTGGGACAGGGCACTTGGGAAGTCTCCCCCGAGCCAGCAAGTGAGCCTGGAGCAGAGGCAGAAGCTTCCATCCCAGGACTGCCCCTTGTCCAGAGGGTGGGCCCAGGTCCTGCTGGACTCCCCAGGGGGGAAAAACGAGGGTATGGGAGGGGGCACCCCAACAGCCCAGGATGCCAGGTCCTTGACCCAGAGAACCAGCTACACACGAGGATGTAAAACCAGGGGTTTCTTTATTGCAAAGGTACAAAAGCAGTCAGAGAGCAGCGACGTGTACAGCAATAAATTAGGTGGTGGCCGTGAGATGGGGGTGGGGTGGGGTGGGCACGGGGCACAAGTGCGGGTCCACAGCATGTGATCTCCTCTCAATAATTTATATCATGGGGAAAGCAGCAAAAAATAAATATTGAAATGGAACTGCGGCTGGGAGGCCAGGACGCGCTGTGCAGTGGCATGTCCAGGGAGCGCCTGGCCACCCAGGAAAGGCAGAGCCCACCCTCTTTGGGAGGTCTGAGCCACGGGACAGAAAACAAACCCACGACAAAGAGGTCCTTGTCTTTTTCTTAAATAAAAATAAAATCATATATTAAATCGTGACAATAAAATTTCAGTGATCTCAAAGGAAAAGCAGAATGTGCCACTTCCTTCCCTGGCCCTGTGCCCGTGAGCATCCTGGACGGAGGCTCCCTGGGTGGTGATGGAAGTTCTGTCCACCCTGGAGGCCGAGTGTGGGGAGCTGCTTCTCTAGCACAGCACCACAGGCCAAGAGCGGGAAGCCACTCATAGCCAGAAGCCTGCCACATCCCAGAGATGTGACAGACCCCAGGGCTAGACAGAACTTGCAGCTGCGTGGCCTGCCCTGGGGGCCACCCAAGGTGCCTGCTGGGGCTAGACCTTGTCCCCAGGCCCAGCACACACCAGAGGGGGCAGCACACTCTCACCCCATCCAACACAACTCTGCACTAATGAAGATCTACAGTATCAAACTGGAAAAAACTTATGAAAAATCTGTACGATAAAATGTGTATATAATTTTATATATATATATATATATATTCTTTTTCTCTTTAAATATTTCCCATGGCCCTTATTGATATCCAATATGGATTACCTACCATGGCTATGGTATTGACAGCTTCAAGTGCCCGGCAGAGCCTCCTGCTCTGAGGCTCCAGTGTGACCCCGCGTAGCTGGGCTGCAGCTTGGCCAACCCTCAGCACTGCACTGGACCCAGAAGAAGATCAGTCGCATGGTGGTGCCACCAGAGAAGCCCTGACACTCTCTATTCACTTCTGACAGCAGACTCAGAACCACGTTGCAGCCCTTGGACCGCCTGTCCTCGGCCCTCCCTGCACATAGTGCGGCAGCTTGCTGGGGTACAGGGTAGGCCAGGAGGGAACTGGGAGTGAGGGGCGCAACTCCCTCACTGCCTGTCACGCACAGTGGCTTCCAGTTGGCAGCAGGACACAGGGCTCATGTTCCACCGGCTCACCCCAGACAGGGGTGTCCAAGCCAACTCCTCTTGCCAAGACCCCAGTCAGAGGAGGGTGCCCTGCAGCAGTGCTCTGGGAAAGGAAGTCCCAGAAGGATCCCCAAGATCATGAGCAGTTCAGAGCTCCATGAAGAAAGAGCAGGTGAAGGCTCTGGGTGATGGTCTAGCACCAGGGCGCAGGGACCCACCTCTGCCCCAAGCCTGTCTGGGGGCTCCTGGCTGACCTCAACATAGAGGCAGGCCCGTGAGGAGTTCCCTGCAGTGCCCTCACCCCCATGCTGTGCTCTCAGGCCTCCTTCATGTCCCTGGGCCCCATCTCAGAGCCTCGGCTCCATCCTCACCCCCCTCCCCGCCACTGCTCCACCCCACCCAGCAGCAGGAAGCACAGTGGTCTGTGGGATACTCCACTCAGGACATCAACTGACACGTCCATGTCCACCGACATCCCTGAGGCCTCCACTCCTCTCCAAACCACACAACCCTTCCCTACAGGCCTCAAGATCTCCGCCTTCCCCACCTCGATGAGCACAGCCAGCCAGAGGCAGCTCTAGGGAAACCAAGATCTGCTTTCCAGCAGCTGATGGGATGCTCCTGCCCTCATCTTGTGAAATCCAGGGATGGCCAGCAGGCTGGCAGAAAGCCAGCTGGCTCTGCTGGCTGGGCCTTGCTGGGCAGCCACCTTGGGTCACAGAGCACAAGGGAAACTTCACAACATACGCACAACTCTCTGCACACATACTGGACAGGCCTTCCTGACATGACCCCGGTGCTTCTGGTGTACAGGCCCTGTGACAGCAGGCCCGTGGGGGCACAGACACCAGCACACAGCCTCTCCCGTCTCTGCTTCCCAGGGCACGGGCTGGGTGTAAGGGCTAAAGCTCATCGTAGCACGCTTCAGTGGGACAACGGAAGACCAGAGCTGCCTTCGAGCTCCCTCACTCCCCCCCAGGGGCATCCAGAGCTCGGGGAGGTCAATACAGGGTGCCTGGCCCAGGTGGGAGCCATGGCAGGACGGTGTTAAAGGCTGCTTGCAAGAGGAGTGGAAGATGAGCCCCACACCCAGCCACAGGGGCCCCTCCTGCTGGCAGACCCTGCAGGGGACTGTGGGGTCATCTCCCACTGACTCCTGAAACAGACCCATCTGGAGAGGAGGGACAGGGCGTGAGGGTGGTGTGCACCTGTGTGTGCATGGGCGGTGTGCAGTGCCTGGCTCACAAGAGCCTACTCTTCATCTGGCACCTCACTTGTCCCCACTCTCAGCCCCGAGGGGTCTGCAATGACTGGTGTTTCGAGTCTGCGCCAGGACCCTGGGCAGGCACGAGGGACGTGCCGCCTCACGGCCCAAGCAGGCACTAGGACGCGGCTGAGAAGGGCACAGAGGTGGAGGAGATCTCTGTGGACTTGACGATGGTGATGACGCTGGTGGTGGCCACCTTGGTGGGTGTGACGGGTCCGCGGGCCACAGTGCGGGCGAAGGTCTGCAGGGCCTCGTATTTGGAGCGCAGGGCGTCCAGCTCTAGCCGCATGCTGCTGTTCTCGCGGGCCAGCTTCTCCACCTCCTGCTGCAGCTCCACCCGCTGCCGCTCCAGCTCTTCCTTCTGTGTCACCCGCTTGATGCGGCAGCTGGCTGCGTAGCCACGGTTCTTGAGCGTGCGCCGACGCTGCTTCAGGCGGGTGACCTCCTCCTTAGTGAGCCCCCGGAGGTGCTGGTTCAACTCCCGCACTGACATGGACACCAGCTCATCATCACTGAGCACCGGGGCGTTCTCGCCTGCCTCCTTCTTGACCTGCAAGGCCACAGTGGGTCAGCACCAAGCCCCTGCAGTATCCACACCTCAGCCTGCTCTGCAGCAGCCCACAGCTGATTTGGGGCAGCAGAAAGACCCAGCAGTAGCACCCACCTGCCCTCTATCTGGGGCTAGTCCCCCTGCTACAACAGGGACATTGTGCACAGGACGCAGCACCACGAAGCCACATCAGGCAGTCCTACTACAGCTGCTGCTGTCACTGTGATCCTTTTGAACAGGGAGGACCTGATAGCTGTTCCCTCAGGAAGGCCACAGGTGACATCACCCTTACCACTGTAAGCCTCCCAAGTTCCATAAGGACATATGGAGGTCCTGCTCATGGGATGCTCCAACGCTGGGGACTGATTCAGGAAGGATCTCAACCAACCCTTCCAGGGTGAGGATGGGTGGCTCACTCTTCCCCTACCACCTGCACATCGGCCTCCCAGAGTGACACTGGGGTCTGGCTAGGCAGGGCCACCTCAAGGGAGCAGGAACCCCAGAAGTGGAATGGAGGTGCAGGGTACACACAATCTCAGTTCTGCATATGGTTCCCAAGAGCCCCAAACATGAAGGCCAACCCAAGGGCAGCCTGTCACAGAAGCTGAGGGCCCAGGAGGCAGCAAGCACCAGCAGAGATGGAGCCCGGTCACTGGAGCTGGAGCACCCCACCCACTGGAGGCCACTCTGCCCAAGCCTGGTACTGGGAATTCAATTCAGGCAGGAACAGAACCCGCAGACAAAGCCCCAGTTGGCAGGCATCTAACCCTACATCCCCGGTGTGTCACCCAACTCTGTTGAGAATGTTCTCCCAGCCTGTGGTCCCCACCTATTCCCGGGGACAGGGACTCCCTCACACCCTAAGGGCAAATCTGAGAAAGGAGGAGCTTCCAGGTCAGGAGGAATCTTTCTTGTGTAGTGCCCAGTACAGGGATGGCTGCCCAGGGCTGCCACCCGCCATACCTTTAACGCCTTGTTGGGCTTGGGATTAGTCGTCATAACCCGGGCACAGTCACCAGGACGGAAGTGCTGGGAAACTGCAACTGCAGAAACACAGAAGAACACAGAGGGCGAGTAGGTTAGTCCTGGTGAGCTCAGGACTGCGCACCATCTCCCTGCAAGAGGCTCCCAGGAGACAGCCTGTCACAGTACCCCAAGAACATCCCAAGGGGCTGCCCCAGCCCGTCTGCCCAGGAGGCTCCAGTAAGACCCAGCTCGGCTGACACTCTAGCCCAGCTCACAGAACAGTCAGGACTCTCAGCCCCAGGCTCAGAAGCTGTGTGGCCCCTTACTGCCCCCAAACCTGGCAGGTGCTGGAGCCCCCAGGACTGGGGGTGAAGCCTGGCACTGGCAGTTGTTGCTTCTTAACCCCACTCCCCTCCCACCTCACAAGATGTTGGCACCAGTGAAGTACAAGATGCTACAGCCAACAGAACACAGACCAGTCGCAAAGCTACCCCCAAGAATGGCCATGCCTGGACAGTGTCCCTGGCCTGGCAAGAGCTCTGGCTGATTCAGACCCGCAGGGAGAGAAAGGGCCCTTTCAGAGAGCCCCTGCCACTACTGAACCCCATCCTCAAAAGTGGACAGAGTAGAGCACTTGCCACCTCTCCCCAGCCCCATCCAGCCCGCCTGTCCCTGGCACCTACCGCAGGGAAGGGAACTGCAGCTGTGACATCACCACCTCAGCCTGGCTGCCCCTAGTCTGCTCAGGTGACTCTGGGGCCCCAAGGATGGGTGGGGGCTCCTGGTGGGCATCAGTTTAGAGAGAAGGGCCAGAGATAGGAGGTGAGGAGTCATGGCTGCCTCGCAGAACTAATCAACTGTCTGGTGAGACTTGTCCCCGCCAACCGCCCTTCTCATTTTAGAGTCTGCATTGTGTCACACATTCTAATCATTCATGAAAAACCCAGCCAAAGCATCCCAAGCATGATTCCCCTCTGATAGTTGCCATGACGACCTTGGGAAGTAGCCAACCCCTGATGGTTGCCATAGAAACAGAGAAGCCCAAAAGCAATCATGACTTCAGGTCAGGCCTGTGCAAAGACATCATGAGGTTGTCAGACAGTAAACAAACTCATTCATTTTAACCCCAGAAGAAAGGAGAGAAACACAGGGTGGCCACTGGATGGGCCACACCCCCACACATCCACATTCTAGGGATGAGTTGAAGCAGAAGCAGAGAAACACATGGAAAAGGGGTACAGAGGATAGACTGGGGCTGGATGGTGGGCGACCTCCACTACCCCTCTCCCTGCAGACCTGGGTCCCGCCACCCTCTAAACGAGAAGCTGCTGATAAACACAGGATCCACGCTCTGTGCTACAGACACCAGCACCTAGTGACTCCAGCTGCTCCCATGGAAACTGAAGTGGACAGCAGGGGCCAGCTGGGGAGCCTCAGGTAGGCTTGGGGCTCCTCTCGAGGGAGGCACTGAGGGAGCACCCTGACCCCTTATAGGCCCAGGCCTGAAATGGACAAGCAGCAGCTCAGGGTGAACATGGAGGTAAGAGCTGCTCTCCAACATGACTTGACCCGTGATGTGAGGGGGCCCGAGGCATGCCACCCCCACCACCCTGAGCTGGGTGACAGAGACCCTGGAGAAGCCTGGGCTCTGGCCACCCTGTAGGGCCCTGCAGGACCCAGGCGCCTGGGAGCTCCATGACTCCATGAGAAACTTTTCCATGCGAGGGAGGAGGGACCAGGCACCTCTTCCAGCAACTACAAGTCAGTGACATAACTATGCGGTGAGTCACCAGCTGTTTACAGAGCCGCTCACATTCCCACACAAGGACGCCCCTCCCACCCGTATGGCACTAGCTGGGGCCCCTGAGGCCAGTGGAAAAGGAAGGTGCTAGGGAAGGGGCCTCTGGTCAGACCCACAGGTGACGTGCTGTGCTCCGTGCTCCATGGGGAGCTGAGGGACAGACCTTAACTCTAAGGAACTGCCTCCCATGACCACAGAGGTGGGACACCGAGGGACTAGGATGTGCAAGACTCAGTCTCCAGGGGACCACACTCAGAGAAGTCAAGCCCTTCCATGATTTGAGGACCCTTGGATGGCCAGATAGGTCACTCCGATCCATCTGCCAACTCTAAGCCTACCACAACCACTTCGCTTGCCTCTGGGGACGACCCAAGACCACTGAGAGAAAGCAACCAACATGGGTCCTGGCTCAGGCCCTAGGGAGCGACGCAGGGAGGGGGCTCTGAATTCCAGAATCCCTTAGTCCTCAGACCTGCCATCTTAAAGAACACGGAGGACGAGAAGATGCAGACAAACCCACCCTCTTCCCAAGAGGCCTCTTCCCCACAGAACAAACCTCGGCTCTTCATGGGTCACTTCCTCAGAAAAATGAAGGAAGGAAACAAAGGGCCCAGGCTGGGCCCAGCAGGGGACACTAGACCCCACCTGGGTTCTCCCCCACCACCACACCTGCACCCACTCCTGAGCACCAGGCCCCTCCCAGGAGCCCAGCCCAGCAGTCCAGGCCAGGGGATAGGCTGGGGGTGGGGTGCAGGCAGGAGAAGCCCCCCCCCACCCTGCACTGGGCACCATACCCACATCTTTTCCCTCAGGCAGATGAGATCTCAGCTTCTGCCCCAGGAACCTGGTTCTGCTGGGGAAACCTGGATCCTCTGTTGGGATGGTTCGGCCAATGTCTGCCCCCATAAAAGGTGAGGACAGATGGGCTGCAGGTCAAGGTTCTGCCCTTCAGTCTGACGCCAGGCACAGGGGCAGCCCAGGCATGGTGCTTCTCATGAACCCAGTCCACCGGGTAGGCTGGTGCCTCTGCCCAGCACTCACAAAGTACACCCGTGCAGTACTGACCTTGCGTTGCTTTAAACATCAAAGGCAAGAAAAATGACAACTGGCCTTTGGAATGAGGTTCAAGGGAGAGCTTTACTTTTTTGCAGTGCTGGGGATGGAACCCAAGGCCTTGTACAGATCAGGCAAGAGCTCCACCCCTGAGCTGCACCTCCAGTCTCAGGAGAGTCGTGTACATGTGAAAGAGTTTGCAAAACAAGTGACTTAAAAATGCTCTGAAGGGGCTCCCTAAGCCACTTACCTGAGAGCCACAGGGCACATCTCGTGAGAAGACTCCTTTCTGAGCCTGGGCTAAGACTGTAGGCAGAAGGGTGTGTGGAGCCCACAGGAAGCCCCAGAGAAGCCCTCTTCCTGGCACTGGGGCCCAAGGCAGGCCTCTCTTGGGCAGCTTCTGGTGAGGGTGCTCTGGGCCTTCCATCAGCCAACAGCATACAAGACCCCATGCCCTGAGCTACTTGGAATTCTAGAAAAGTCACCTGAGAAGTTCAGCAGTCAAATACTGGGCCTGAGGGTGGGGTTTCTCCATAAAGTCAGGTGGCTGGCCAACTGCACTGGTCTCCATTCCCCCTGCATGCAACCACTTTCTAACTTAGGTGGGTTGAGAGTGCTCCCTGGCCCACATCCCAGGACAGGCAGCTGGTCAAGAAGGCTCACGTGGTGGAGCCTTACCTACCACACACAAAGTCCAGGGTGGATTCCAGCACCGCAAACAAACACAGGTGCACATGCAGCACCTTCCAGGTGACTACTAACATTTAAAGAGTTATCAGCTGTATCCATCTATATTCTCTGAGGGCATGCCAGCCACCCCTGGTAGTGTCCACTCCACAGAATTAGGGAGCCAGGGTGGGGAGCCCTCCTATTTCAGGATAGATCCAGGCAGGAGGCTGGAAGGCATGCTGCAGAGGATCCAATCCCAGCCTGGGTGTCCTGGGGGGGCAGGGCGGGGTGGCTTGGCTCAATAGCTCAGGAAGGGACCTTTCAGAAGCAGATCATCTCACATTCCAGGGATCATACTTTACTCTTCAACTTCCAGCTGCTGTCCCTGGTGCCCCACTGCTCTGACTGCACCTGGGGACATTTACATCTTCAGACTTCCCAGGCACACCGTGAGAAGGACTGGCCTGGGCCTGCGGGTGGGGTTTTCTCCATCAAATCAGGTGGCTGATCAGCCCCAGGGCCCTAAGTAACAGTGCTAGGGAGGCTTCCTAGGAGAAAAGGAGGCTCCACACAGTTCCCAAGTGTCCTGATGCTTAAGGAGATAAATGACTAGACAGGACCCTCTATGTCACCCTCTGCTGGAGCTCAGATGTGAAGCTGGGTGGGCTCTAGGTAAGACACTTGTTCTTTAGGGGTGATATGACTACAAGGCCAGGACCCTCCACTTTCAGCCCACCTGAGAAGGAGAGGTAAGCCTTTCCTTTCCTACTCTCCAGAGTGGGAAGGAGGTGCAGTGGCCCGCTGTCTCAGGACAGCAGATTCAAACTCTAGCTGGACACAGCAATAGCCCTTGCTCTCCAACCCCGGCCCTGATGGGTGCAAGTCCACAAAACCTGAAGCCACCGAGGCCCCAACTACCCCCTCGCAGGAGCTGGAAACACTTCTACAAGCACCCAAAGCAAGTGCCCTTCCTAGGAGCCACAAGGGAGGCAGGGCCTACATTGCGCCAGCACCCAGTGGGTGCTTGTCAATAGTGCCAACCAATGGTAACCCAGCTGGTGCCACAGAAGAGCTAGTAATGGCCCAGCCCACTGAAGACCAGTAAGCCTCCACTGGCCCCTCCTGCCCTAGACATAGCCCCCTCGGTGTATAGTACTGTCCTGCAGCCTGGCCCTGGCTGGCCGCCCTCCAGCAAGCCACAACTGTCTGCCCAGCTCAGAGGACGTCTGGTCACCTTGTGCCTGCAGTCGCAGGAAGCTGTGTCATCCCAGCTACATCCAGAGGTGACTCAAGCCAGGGCTGCAGAGGCTGCAGCTACATAATACGCCCCCTCAAGCAGCCCCTACCTCACCCCAGCTCACTGAGTTGTCCCTCTGCCACCAGCTCCCCTTAAGGGTTCTATTCTGTACCCAGTCATTCTAAGGCTTCAGCCAATTCCAGGCTGGGCCAGGGATGTCCCCTGGGAAGAAACCAAGGGCAAAGACCTGCCTTTCCTCTCCCCAAACCCCTCCTCCTGGGTCTCTAGCTTAGTTTTGACAGTGCCCCCACATCGTCAGGTGAAATCATCCCCAAGTCCCTCTGCTCTGTGACCAGGGCTTGAGGAACTAGTCCTCAAGTTCTCCTGCCCACACCCTGTCTCAGCTCAGGCCCTGACTTCTACCTGAACACAGGGCCAGTTTAACAGAACCCCCGACTTGGATCCTGGTGCCTCAAACACAGTCTCCCAGGCAGGTGGAGACTTTGAAGTCCTTCTTGAGCAGCTAATCTCTATCTGTCACCATCTCAGCCCTCCTCTTCTGGCTCCCAATAGACCCTGCTGTGCTGACCACAGCTCACTCCCCAACACACTTCTTCCAGAAAGTCCTCCTAGCTGTGTTCTTTGGGGCAAGCAATCACCTTGGAACAAGAGCTGTTTCTAGACCTTTCTGTTGACAGGCAGACCTCCTCAGTGCACAGAGAGCTCCTGGCAAGCAGGGAACAGGTCTTACCTACTTTAGCTCCCCACAGGGCACCCAGCCATTAAGAAAGGTCTGCTGCATATGCAGCGGGAGGGCTCCAGCAGGGAGCCTGGGTAAGGTGTTCATCCGACCCACCTCCCAGGGCACCAGAAAGCAGCACTGAAGAGCAGACAAGCACCAGACCAGGCTGACTCTGACCCGGGCCAGAGAGCGATGCCTGGTAGTTACAGTCCCCTCACCTACAGTGGGAGATGCGATGGACCATGTGTGACCACTCAGGTTCATTCCTACCTGCTCTGAAATTCTACAATTTTCAGATAACACTTTCAGTTTCCTTAAACCATAAGAAAGAGGAAACATGGGGTCTGTGACTTATGAAAAGCAAAAGTGAATACGGAGCAACACATCTCCCATTAGCTGGGACAGGGAGGGTGGGGAACGCAGTGTGAGTCACTGTTTACTGCTCTCAGGAGCAGCCACACAGAATTCTCCCAGCTGGCCGGATTTCCATTTCCCGTGTGGACAGGACCTGAAATCCAGAAAGCCCAATGCAGAAGACTCCCGCCTTAGCAAAGTCCAGGGCAGAAACAGGCACAACTTCTTCTAGGTCTAGACGGGGACTGTAAACAAACCCTGGAGCCATCCCACAGCTCCAAGAGTGAAAGCTGAGAGTTGTGGACAAAGAATGGTTGGTAAACAGTCTTCCTCCACAGCAGCATCTAGGGCGCTAGGGGAAAGGCAACCCCTAGAAAAGTTGGCTTCCCAGGGACCCTCTATCCAACTCCCATTTCAGCAACCACCTGGAAAGTACGCAACACTGGACTTGGAACTAGTCCCTCTGACCTTGCTGGTCCAAATATAAAAGTAAATGTGCTCCAGAGGAAAGCCCAGTTTGCTTTTTGCCTTATTAAATATTCTGCTTTGGAATAAAGAGAGGGCTAGTTTTAAGTGATAAAAGCAGGTCCCCTCTGCCAAGGTCAGACTAATTGAGCTGCCTAAGGAGGGAGTTCTCATGAATGGTGCTGGCGACCCATAGTGCACAGCCCCCTTACCTCTCTGATCCCACTCACCTGATACAACTAATACCTTAAAAAAAAAAAAAAAAAAACCTCCCTGCAGCAGCTTAGGAGGCTGAAGCAGGAGGATCTCAAGTTCAGAGCCAGCCTCAGCAACTTAGTGAAGCCCTAAGCAATTTAGCAAGACCCTATCTCAAAATACAAATTTTTAAAAAAGGTTAGGGATGTGGCTCAGTGGTTAAGCACCCCTGGATTCAATACCTGGTACCAAAACCAAAACAAAAAACTCCCGGCCCTGAAAACACCAGGCTTGAAGAAGTCTAGCTCCAGGGTGCATCAGATCTTGCACATGCATTTCACCAAGATGCCCTGTGCAATCCCAATGTCACTCATCAATGCTAATAAAGGGGTCCTAGAGCCCATCCTGGTGGGTAAAGGGGAAAGATCTAGCCACAGACTTCTACCAGGCCATGCGGAAGGATTAGGGTCTGCTGCTTCTTGGGGCCAGACACCTGTCAACTGAATGAATGGTTAGGTGCATCCAATTTCTGCCTATGCTACCAGCTTCATGAAAAGCAACCCAGGACAATCTCTAAGACAAGATCCAAGAGCAGGGAGCTAGCTGCCAGCCTTCCTAGACACAGGCTGCTACCCCAATAGGGCAACTTGTACGGAGCCAAAGTGCCTGCACAGGGTGAGGATGCCAGGGGGTATGGGGCCAGACCACTGGCTCTTCCTAAGGCAGACCTAAGACAGGCCCCAGAGACCAGAAGGCTTTCTGTGACCTGTGGTTTGCTAGACTTGCCTCATTTCTTGCCCCTGCTCCCAGGCTCCCCAGAAGTGTGCCCAGGCCAGCCACAGAGTAGACCATACCTATTGACTAACCTCACAGAAGCAGAGAACGCCCAAGAGGAGTTGGAGGAGACCTTGGCCCCTGACCACACCTGAGGAAAGTGACGGAAGCAACACGCGGGCCAAGACTGTCACCTGCCGCCCTCCCCACCCATAGCTTCCACATCGCGTCCTTCCTTCCGGCACCCCTGGCAGGTCAGCTGATTAGCGAGTGACACCAGCCACCAAGGCCGACGGAGACCGGCTGGCCCCTACCCACTCAGGGGGCACGTGCACCCTGCCCTGGGCGCGAGTCGCGCCTCTCAGGAAGTGTCTGAGCGCGGGC